ATGAAAAGTGGCAACATATTTGCCCTCATTTGTTTTTTTGGTGTTTTTTGTGATGTTTTTTTTTTTCTTCTTTTTTTGCCATAAAAAAAAAATTGCTTTCATACTTTGTCGGGATGTCCTTTTCGATGCATGTCGGTCTTATGCACCCAGGTCTAGGGAACCATTAAGTTTATACAACCAAATCAGGGTTGGTTCTAAAGGACAAACTCGAAAACAACGTTTAGTTTCTCAATCCAACTTTTCACCTAATATTGTCAAAAAATCGAGCAAAAAATCAAACTGAGTAAGCCTCACTAAATTTATTACACCGCCACGAACATAATTCGATTAGGGTTAAAATTTAATCGGTTTACAATAATTGGGTTTGTGCTAGTCCACAAGTCTAATGTTGACCATGGCATGCAAGCACGCACATACAAGTGTGTCATAAGTACCGGGTGTAACTGTGAATGCGCAGCAGTGTTGCGGGATTGCATACCCGCCAGGGCTGTTGGGGCCATGGCGCCTTACCTTACGGGCACGGGCGAATTGGGTAGGCAAACCCGCAACACTGCTGCGCATTCACAGTTACATCCGTTACACTGTGGGGGTTGCAGTGTTCTAGGCACTAGGCTCCTTTCCTAACTACAAAGCGGCGTTTTCACAATGCCTCAGCCGTAGCAGATAGAACATTGTGAAAACGACACTTTAGGACATTGTTTGATAGGACCCGTCGATTTTGTCTCAACCATCATCTGATGGTTGCGATTGAGCTAACCAGAAAATAATTCGCGCAATAGTTGCCCACAGTTTTTCATTTTCTGGGTGTATGGTGTTCACACACAAAGCTTTGATTCAAGCCTGTGGTCGCGCTTCGGGGATCGTTTGCAATCGCTTTGCAATCGCTTTGCAATCGCTTTGCAATCAGCCGCCGAGCTGCACGGTGATGCCCGTGACGAGCGTGCGCGGCGTGCGCGGCCGGCGCGGCGCGCTGTCAGCTTTGTGTCAGTCGGCGACTCAGTCGGCTCAGCCCGCGTCAGACACGACGTGTCTGAGCGCATCCGCCCCGCGGTATTAGGGGTCAGCGGCAAAGAGTGTTTATTCGCAAAGTGTTTTTGTCGTATCTCTTTCAGTCTTATTTTTTGCGGTGTTGCGCAGACTAGTTCGGAGGGGCAGGCGACGCCGCCGCTGTCGCGACGGGGGAGTGCCATCTGCAGCCGGAAGAGGCGAGGAAAAGGCCAGGGAAGGGAGGGGGGGGGGGGCAGGGGCCATTGACTGCCCCTGCCCTCCGCGTTCCGGTCGGCTGGGGTCCCCCTGGCTTGGCGACGTCTATTGGATTACTCCACTATTGTGATTGCATTTTGTTCGAAGTCAAGGTGGATTTACATGACGGCCCCGGGGGTGGAGCGGGGGTCTCGGGATGGGCGACCCCGCCACGGACACAAAAGGGCCGAGACTTCGCGCCGAAAAGAGGCGAGGTAAAAAGTTGGCGCCTCCTCGGCGGGACCCGCAGGACCCCTGCGTCCGACGAGGCCTCGTTAAGAGAGGGTGGCAAAGAGTCAGGCGTAATTTACCAGATTCACTGCACGCGCTTCAAAATTGCACCGAGCAAACCATTTACAGTGAGGCGCTAGTGTGAGGATTTGAAAGGAAAATTCACTCTTTTACTCCCTTAAATGTGCGAATGAGGAATGAGCATTCACACACCTCAGACGTGTCCTTTTCTTGTGTGTGTGTGCATGTACCTCGAGATGGGCTCTATATCGAGAACGAGCACAAATGCCAATACGAGTGTACTCAGTTTATCGCGCACACGCTCACACATCCGTCTGCTATACGAGACTGCTCTGCTCCAGCATCGAAATGAAAAGCAGACATCGAGAAACGTGACTCGTATGTGTACCACGTGACCTTTCTAGACCACCGACCACGATTTACCACTTCTACAGCGCTTGGCTACACTTCCTCAGAGAGGAGAAGACGAAAGCTCGCCTAGTGCAAGCAGGCAGGGGGAAATAAGTGGGCAATACACCGGAAACCCAAGTGTGTGGATGTTGCGCACTTGAAGGTGTGTGAACTACACTGTTAAATTCCTACAAAGCATTTGCTTTGCAGAGCTGCGAAGTATTTCGATCCTTTGTAACTACGAGGCATTTACTTTGCAATTACAAAGTGATGCTTTGCAATTACGAAGTGACACTTTGCAATTGCAAAGCGATGCTTTGAAGCGTTTTCATTGCTTCGCAATTGCAAAGCATCACTTTGTAATTGCAAAGTAAATACTTCGTAGTTACAAAGGAGCAAAATACTTTGCAGGAATTTAACAGTGTACACGGTAAAAACGACGTCCTGGTTTTCATGACGATTTTCGAAAAACCAAGACGTTTTGTGGAAGAAATGCACAGGGAACGTCGTGGTTTTTCCAAAGCTCATGAAAACCAAGGACGTTGTTTTTACCGTGTGCATTTGAAAGAAAAATTCCGAAAATTCACACCTCTACTCCCTCAAGTGTACGAATTGACATTCACACACCTACAACCTACAAGTCTGCAAGCAACATTCACACTCTTGCGTTTCCAGTGTAGCTATTGAAAGCAGGTGAAAAAGGAGCTTGAAGCAGGGGGAAAATGTGGCGCTATTACATATTTGAATGAATATAGTCGGTTCATCGTATACGCTTTGTCGATGTCGAAGCCTAGTTCACTTACCTTACTCGGTCCCGGAGTGGAGCTCCAGCGTAAAGCTTTAGCTAGCACCGCGAAGCTCCTCCGCTGTTCGTTCTCTCCGCGCGAAGCTGATCTTGTCACAATATTGCCTCGCGCGGCCGCCGCATTTGGAGCTGAGCTGCAGTGTTGCCGAGCCGCTCAAAGAGAGAGGGGATGCTAGAGGCTCAGCAACGAAGAGAGAGAGAGGAAGAGAGAGAGAGAGAGAGGCTAGAGCGTTACAACTGCACCATACTCGCACGTGCGTCGTGCCCTATGGGGGAAGAGAGAGAGAAAGAGAGAGAGAGAGAGAGAGAGAGAGAGAGAGAGAGAGAGAGGGAGAGAGAGCGCGAAGAAGAGTACAAACCTTGCCAAGGCCAAACGCCTCTGCGGGCAGCGCCCTTCCTCTGATCCCTCCGCCAGTAGCTGCTGCACCCGTCATGCTGGGCTGACATGACTGCTGCAGCTGGGCACTAGGTGGGCTGACTACCGGCTATGGGCTCAATTCGTGCGCTCTCCCTCGCTGTCTCTCTCTATCTCTCCATTCTCTCCGTCTGCAGTTCGCTGCACCGCCGCCGCGATACCTGTTAGCATAGACAGGAGCGTTGGACGCGTTACTGCCCTCTTCCCCCCCTCCTCCCCCCCCCCTTCTCTCCGCTCTTTTCCTCCCGTGGCAGTATGGAACCCGGAGGAGGAAGAGAAAATTCGGCGATCCGTGTCGAAACGCAAACGGGCTCTACAGGGAGAGAAAGAGCGAGAGAGAGAGAGGGGGGGGGGGGAGTACAAAAAACCACAGTGGCTCGGCCGGAATAGCGACAGCCATGGTGTTGCGTTGGGTCGTCTGCCACGAAAAGGATTGGGGAGTGACACCTTAGTCTCTGTCTCTTTCTGTCTCTCTCCCTCTCCTCCCACCGTCCCTCCCCCCTCTCACGTGATCGACTGGTGACCACCACACTTATGCTGACCGCGAGACACTCCTCTTTCCTTTTCTTCTTTTCCTACTTTTCTCTTTTCGCACACCCCCGCATCAGCAGTCTTATGGCTCTGGTATTTGCGGTTTGCGGGGGGAAAAAAAGGAAGAAGAAGTCTCTTCTCTGTGGTGTCCGTGGTGCAGCCGGGCTGGGTCCCGGGCGCGGGGCCCCGGGCGGGGCTGTCGCCGGCGTCCACCCACCCACATTCTATCCGTTTCCCACCCAGACGCTGAACCCGTTACATCTCGGTAGTGGATCGAAGCTAATCGTTCGGTGAGAAGGGACCTCCGAAAAATCACCGCTTCGCCGCCGCCGTTGAAGCAGTAGGAATCGGAAAGAAAGGAGGAAGGTGGAGGAAGTGGGGAAGGGGCGGGGGGAGAGAGGGGGTAGTGGCCGGCGACAATTAACGCCCGGCCCAAAGTTACTGCTTTATAGATTGGTCATGCGCCTCTCGTCGCTAAAAAACAATGTCATTGGGGCGCTGACGCTGCGTCCCGTTGCCCGGGCGTCGCCGGCCATAGATCGCCATAGCGCTGCCTGCATTCTCGTCGTTGAAGATCAAGAATTTCTTCCCTGTTTTTTTTAGTCCTCTGATCGAAGTCTCCGTTGTTGTAGATTGCAGTGCTATACCTATCTATCGTGGTATGGAATGTGCTGTAGTTTCTTTTTTCCGCGGGCGGTTGTCGCGCTATCGCACCGCCTTATGGCCCGCCTGGCAGCGGTCAATCCTTTTGAATGACATGCCCGCGACGGAAGCAGGAGACGGGGCAAGAGGCGAGCGGAGCTGGGAGACGATAGGTAGGCTAGCTTCTGTCAGAAGCAGCGCCTCATGTCACTGTGATAAATGTTCGAATTGGAAAATTTTCCATGTTGCGTACTCAAATCTTACAAATTATAATTGTAAAAGTTCAAAAGCTGCGAAAAGCTGCGTATCGACTTGTACTTCATTCACAAGACAGAATGGGCTGTCATAAATTTACAACACATTCCATAAATTGTAAATACGAAATAATATGTTTTAATTTATGAAAGATATTTATCACAGGTATCTTCAGAAGGAAAAGGGGTTAGGCAAGTCGTAGGTTTCTGTGTAATATTAGCTCTTAGACCTAGAGTTTTTGCTGAATTTGTATGATAGCTTTTCGGTGTTTCTTTCCAAAAAAAAAAAGACTTTAGACTTACGATAAAGGTTTCATCTAAAGGATAGAATCGTGAAAAGCTTTCATGGATTCTACTGTAATAGCTCTGAAGGCTAGTCCTTTGAGCACTGTGAAAAAAGTAGGTAGGTTTACAGGAAAATTTTCCTTGATGCAAGTTGTAAAATTACAATTTGTAATCGTAAAAATACATGCAGTATGTACCGACTTTAAATCCCTTGGCGAGTAAAAAATGTGCTGTCGTAAATTAAAAATTTAAATTATAATTCAAGTTTACAAATTTTTTGTAAATTTACGACGATATTTTTCACAGTGAGTGTAAAGCAATCTATATATTGTATAATATCTCGTTGATTTTTCATTCAAACCTCACAGGCTCAGTTATGTCCCACGTTAATAATTTTGTGCCACTTTGCGTTGTTGTTGCAGCTTCGTACTGAACCCGCTGACCCCGGTCCAGGACACGCTGTGCCAGCTGCAGAATGAGACTTCCGCCAACAACCCGGCTGCCGTGCCGCAGCGCTCGGTCAACCTGTACTACATGGTCAAAATGCAGATCAGATCAGGTGAGTGGTGCAAACTGTTTTAGAACAATGCAAATTTTTTATATTTTTTAAAAACACAGCGGTTATATTGTTATCCGTAAAGTGCGTAAGTGGAAACATCTCAAATATGCAATTGTTCAAGTCCGACCGTACGCATAGCAGCTGTTTAAAACTTTGTGCTTTTCTATGCTTGTCTTGCTAATTTGTGTGTCTCTGCCCGCCCAGACAACGTTTGCCTTAGGCCGTGGGCCTTCGAGCGCGTGCCGAACAGGATGATCCGAGGCCTGGACAGAGCCCTCATCTACACGTCCACCAAGGAAGCTTGCTTGGCCGCCTGTCTGAACGAGGTAAGTTCTAACCGAAAATGGGAGGGGGGGAAGGGGAGGGGCGAAGTATTTTTTTGCTAGCAGCTTTTATTTTCTCTTTATCGTTTCGAATCGGATCATCGTGGTGTCGCACCATTCCTCACTATACTGCAATGTCCGATATCTGGTGCCATTGTCGAGCTTATTCTGCCCGACGGCGTTTGTGTTGCCTCATTTCGGGAAGGACCACCGCCATCTCGCCGGGGCTGACGCAATGGAGTGCGACGGGGACGACGAGAGTCGGAGGAGGGGAGGGGGAGGGGTGGCGGTGAACATTTCCCCGCATACAGCGCGTCCCCTGACAATAGGCTCCGAGCTTTCCTAAACGCGGGACAAAGGCTCGGCCGGTACCGATCCCTGCAGGATGGGTGCGCCGACCCCGCCTGTGGTCACTGGGGAGGGAGGGGGGGAGGAGTGGAGGAGACAGCAGTGAGACACGAAGAGACGACAAATGAGAGTGTGGCTGTTTACACCCGTTTTCAAAATGCGCGATTTTACTATGCGCCATGTGGACGGTCTGTAATAGGGTTGCGACGGCTGGTAATGTTACCGGTAACGTTACCGGAAAAATTGGTAATTTACGGTAATTTACCAAATGCTCGGTAACGTGGAAAAAAACGGTAATGATGACACTTTAAAATGAGTTCAAAACTCACTTTCCAGAAGCAAAAATCACATTTGGAATAGTAAATATGACATTTTATTACATTTTAAGTCACTTTCTGAAGACCTGTTAGCAAATGTGTCATTATTCTAAAGTTTAAAAGGCATAGCTTTAGATAACGATTTTCATAGGTGTACTTTTGGTAACTCTATATACAACTGATGTTTATGAAAACAAGATGAAAAAATTAACACAAATATTCCAATAGATGTAGCTAATACCGGCTATTCCGCCACATTTTAAGCAGTACACACTAATTTCAATCGCCAATAAATAGTACAGTGCCAATTTTTCTACTAGAAATGAAATTTTTCAATTTTTTCCATAATTTCCGGTAAATTACCAATCTTACCATAATTTACGGTAACATTGATTGTTACCGGTAATTTCGCAACCCTAGTCTGTAACGACGTGGACGGCCTGTTTTCAGCACCGCTTCGAGTGCCGCTCGGTGGAGTACAACTACGTGACCCTGCGCTGCCATCTGAGCGACGCGGACCGGCGCAGCACCGGCCAGTACATCCAGATGGTGGAGGCCCAGGGCGTCGACTACTTCGAGAACCTCTGTCTCAAAGGTGAGTGGTTACTCGTGGATCAAAATCGCGCAAATGAGGATCGGTTTGATTACATGAAAGTTACTGGTACACTGGTAAAACAAGTGTTTAATTTTGCACGTCAATTGACGTTTAAGTTCAAGTGTGCATTTTCTAGACACTTTGTGGTGTCTAACTGTGTTATACGTCAATTGGTGTTTAAACTTTCGACACTTCCGAAACGTATAGCAGCTGCACACCGTATGGTTTCCTATTGACAGCATACAGGGTGGGTGATCCGCGCCGTGTTTTTTTTCTGCTCATACTGTACCGGATTCATGCGTGCGGACGGGTTGCATACTCGCACGGGGCCATAAGGCGCCATGGCGAGCGACGATAGGCAAGCCCGCCCGCACGCATGAATCCGGTACAGTATAAGCAGAAAAAAACCACGGCGCAGATCACCCACCCTGTAGAACTGTGTGTGTTGCCAAGTGTGCAGAATTTAAACGTTTGCGAAAACGTCTAAAATTTGCACACCACGCAAGTGTGCAACTTGAGTTAAACACCATGTAATGTGCAAAATCACAACTTGCACACGTTGGTGTGCAAATATTGCACACTTGTTTTACCAGTGTAAACAGTAAACAGCGGACCGAGGTGTGTGAATGCGACGGCGGCAGGCAAGCCCACTCGCAAAAAAAGATTTGCCGTCAGAGCCCACGACGGATTAGCTGATTTTGAGACAGGACATTGATCTCTGGCAGATGAAAACTTAGGTATCGGGTACTGTATGACTACGTAGCCAATGGGAGACACCCTCATGTGTCACGTCAGAACGATATCGCCGTGGGCCAGCCAGTCTGTGTTACAGGCATGACACGCCTGCCTCCCTGTCGGTCACGGAAGCTGCGGTGGGCCCTTTGCGGTGCGACTGCAGAAGCTGGACCCGTTAAGCCCCCCCCCCTTCCCCATCTCGGTCCGGTTATCTGCGTCTACGTTTGCGAGGCCTTCCGTGTGTCCCGGTCATGCTCGGGGACGCACCGCCCGCGAGGCTTCAAATCTCTGCACTCCCATCTGTGTACCCCTCCCCCCCTTCCACGCCTAGGCAGGCAACCCCTCCATTCCCCCTTCCAGTCCCCTTTACCTTACCCCCCACTCGTTCCCGAAGACTCCTCGAAATTGCAGCATTACTAAAAGTTACGCGCACGCCTGTGCGATTCCGCTCAGCCTCCGGAACAGCTAAAGCAAGCCGGGCTCAGCCGCACCGCGCTGCTGCTTCCCTCAAAGTATGAAAATTATAAAAAAAAACTATAACGTCTGTGCAGAGCCTCTGGTGCGCAGAGCCGCGCCGCGCTAGCCGGGTCATGCACACTGCCGGCCGTTAAAAATTATTACGTTTGCATTCTTGCTTGCTCTGGTCTGCTGCTGCCGCCACCGCCTCTGCCGCCGCCGCTGCTGCTGTTTTGGTCTGAGCGGATAAAACTGGGCGGAAAGTAACAAATAAAAAAAAAAAAAACAAGAAAGAGGAAAGGAAAAAATAGGGCGGAAACGCGGAGAGAAAAACTGTCCGGACTAACTTGGGACTCGTGACTGCAGCGGCATGTCGCCGTGCGTCCGGCCGGCGTCCCCGCGCGGGGTGAAAAATACCAGCCGTCAAACTCAATTATTATGTTTGTTCTGCGTGTTTATTATTTTATCTCTACCTGCTAAAGTTGTCTGCGATCCAAAGCCAAGATTTGAAAGGGAAGCTATAAAATTTAGCAATCACATTGACACGTTTATTAGTGCAGCCCTCCAACTGATGGAGGGGGCTGGGGGAAGGCCAGCAGTGTGTGATTGCTTACGATCACGACGACATGTGTTTCGTTACAGCACATACACTCTTCAAGTACCACAGCTCAGCTCTCGACGTATTGCTAACTCACCTGTTCCTTGTGATTTTGTGTGCGCAGCAAACAAGGCTTGCAAGGGCAGCAGGGTGTTCTCGCAACCGCGCATCGGGGTGGCCAACGACAAGGTGGCGCAGTACGCCAGCCTGCACTACTACGTGGACAAGGAGCTCCAGGTGGGTGAAGCGAAAGGAGAAGAACGGAAACGGAGAGTATGGGAAACTGTCCCGGCGTTTCGGGTGTTCACCGCGTATTTTAGAGTGGTGCGCCGAAAACGTAATGGCAGTTCCTCATACAGGGCTGTGGCCGCGGCTGTGGCTCAAATTTCTGACTCTCGCTACAGCACACAGTGGCCTATCTCTCCCTTTACTCACTCTGTGCCCTCCTCGGCAGGTGGCGAGTGAGGCGGCCTGCCAGCTGGCCTGTGAGGTGGAGAACGAGTTCCTCTGCCGCTCCTTCTTGTTCCGGGGCCCGCCGCAGGGCGCGGCCTACAACTGCCAGCTGTTCCACCTGGACCACAAGACGCTGCCGGACGGGCCCTCGACCTACCTCAACGCGGACCGGCCGCTCATCGACGACGGCGAGCGCATCGGCAACTACATGGAGAACTACTGCGAGAGTGAGTTCAGTTAGCTTTCATTTCAACTTCTGAGTTCAGCATGTGGTCTTGCTTGTATTCATTTCAACACTGGAAAAACAAAAAGGGAGGACTCAGGGTTTTAATTCTTTTACAAAGGCATGAAAACTGCCCAAATGCGCTAAATTTTAATGCCTTTGGACACTTTTGCTTCAAAGGCATAAAAATCTAACACCCAAATAAAGGTCCTACCTTGGTTTTCCAGTAAAAATGTGGCTCAAATGTTTTCACTCGCAAAATTCTAATTGATGATTAACTGATTGCCTCCCGCAGAGACGAGCGCTTCTATGGACCAGCTGCCGGTCGTGTTTGACACCACCGAAGACCCCAACGTCAACAACCTCACCCGCGCCGACGTCAACTGCGACAAGACTGGCACCTGCTATGACGGTCAGTCAACTGTCGACTGTCGATCATCACATTGTCATACAAAGAACACATAAAGTTGCAAAGAATTAAATTATATTTCCCTTCGTTTTTGAATCATAAAAGTACTTTTAGCAGATCTAGAAAGTGCACTCTAATTAGTGGTACCTATCCGTTCATTTTTTTATTTTTTGTTTTATTTATCTGACAGTGTCCGTCAACTGCAAGGACACCCGCATCGCCGTCCAGGTCCGTACCAACAAGCCCTTCAACGGCCGCATCTACGCGCTGGGCCGCTCCGAGACCTGCAACATCGACGTCATCAACAGCGACCTCTTCCGCCTCGACCTCACCATGACCGGCCAGGACTGCAACACGCAGTCTGTGGTGAGTAGCGAGGTCGGGTCCCCTGCACCACTTGCACTACTGCATGCTTGATGCATCCTGCACGCTTTTATGCGCGTCCTACTGGTTTTCTTGCACGCGCTCTCTACACCGGACAGTATTTTGGGTTGCCTACGCGCTGACGGCAGGCGCTGTATACTGCCTCAGCTGAGGCCACCTGAGAGCAGGGGTGTAGTATCAGCGAGAGCCCATAAGGAAGGTTTAAACTGCTCAACTGCATAGTGCAAGTTTATAGTTCCAACTGTCGAACTA